CGACATACGTATTGCAGAAGCCGGCACTGGCCCACAAAGAAAACCTGAAGCGTTCGTTGGCTCAACTTTGAGACGATTTCAATTGTATCTTTTTTTTTCTTTTTTTTTTTTTAAATAGCCTGGCAGTATGGTTTCTGTGGTTTTCATCAAAACGTGGTTTGGCTCCGTGTGAAGAAAACAAAAGCAAAAGAGGTGAAAAGGGAGACAGATGCGCCGGGGCAGCTGAAGCCACCAGAGGGAGAGAGAGATAAGACAAATGGTGGATGGAGTGAAGGGGTGAGAGAGACGGGGAACGGGATATGAATCATGACTCTCAGCGTGCGGCCCAGGGGGCCACACACACACGCGCATACCTCTCTCACACACACTCACACACACAGCTACGGTCTACCAAACATCTTCTTCGGACTATGATTTAACTTCGGAAAGAATGATGACTGAAAACTGCGGAACGGCGAGAGTTCCTCTGTGCGGAGGCGCTGTTGCCCAACCTAGCGCTAAAGAGGGAGCTCGGCGGGTTGAAGGGAGTGGAGGGTTAGGGTGGGGACAACATTTCGACTTAATCACGACTAAAGACGGATTATTAGATAAACGTTTATAAAAGTCGGGGCAAAGGAGAGAACGATGAAAGAGGTCAAAGCATCTGCTTTATTTTTGGAAGAATTTTGTGAGAATGTTGCTGGATTGCTTTCAACAAGGCCTTGGCACCGGGCAACATCCATATTCGCAAAAGAAAATTACCTCCCAACATCCGCCTCTACGTGGCAAAGGCCTTCTCGGCAGCAGGCGAGGGGGTGGGGCATCTTTGCTCCTATCAGAGGCCTTCCCGGAACATCGCATCTCAGTCACAGCTGTCGCTCTGGCTATGGTGCTGTTAGTCGATACCTTTGCCGCACAAACTTTTCCCATCCAAGCGGTGATCCCCCCTCTCCTCTCCACTCTAAAAGCAATGTTTTTTTTTAATTGAAATATTTTAGCCATCTTTAGGCCGTTATTGTACAAAAGTTAATTTCCTTTTATTAAAGAAGGGCAACTTTTGGCCGCTTTAAAGGCCAAGAATTTTGTGAAGCAAAAGAGTTCAAAAATTGGTAGCCTGCCAAAATTTGGCAGCCAACATGGTTTGTCAAGCTAGGTGAAAATGGCGTTTGGAGTGTAGCCCAGCCGGCACAGGTAAGCCCGGTGGCAGGCAATGGTTCTCGCTTCAATTACTCGTTCAGTTGCGACTCCTCTCCCCTCTGGGTTGGGCCGGGCGCAGCGAGGTGAGAGGACTGCCACCTCCAGGCATGTCGAGGGGCCGCTGCTGGCTCTCTGTTCATCCCCCTTGTTCGCTTCTCCACTCGCTGTCCACTGAGCTGAGCCCCCGACACAAAAACAGAGACCCACGTGTCGAGACTTATGCAACAGTCGGTCGGCGTGTCGTAATGACAACTTAATGACGTCCGCGCCGGATAGAAGGTGTCACCCGGGCTAAAAGAAAGCCCTGACTTCCAAACGGAAACATCATGATTTTCATAACTTTTCAAAAACTACACTGGATAAAAAAGAATGCAAGACAAAGGCAGACTATCTTGCTGGGTCACTAAAATAATTTGGTTTCACTTTGAAATTTGCTCTGACCCGGAACAAACTTTCCCGACATTTTCGTGAGCCTGTGTATGCTTCTCTGACTTTCCTTACTACCATGAACCCTGACACACAAAGTAAGACACTATAATGGCCAGTCTTCTTTTTAAAGAAAAAAATTGGTAAACCAAACCAGAATTTAAAAGAGGGGGGACAGCGAGTTGAACCAGGTACATTTCTCAATAAAACAATTAGGCAACACTTAGTGGCACAAAAGCCCGGACGCGGCTAGCTGGCATAGCAACACGATGTTATAACTTGCCATGTCCTCGCCAGTACACATTGAAAACCTTACTTATCAATGTCAGTATTTCAAATACAAAGGCATCCGTTGACATACTATTTATGTTCCCGATTAGACTTTGAGGAAAGAAATTCACATCACACAGCAAATTCCATTACCTTAATCATTACAAGTTTGAAGAGGCAGCGAGCGCGTCCTGCCACAGAAAGGCTCGCATGCGCTGGAAGTAACGGGTAACGGGAGATCCTCGTCAAAAGTTGAGGGAGGAATGTGTGTTAGTTCGGAGTGGGGATCCACTGGCTGCGCTGCGGTGAGGGGGTGAAGGGAGAAAGGAAGGAAAAGGAGGGTGGGGGTCACCCGCCTCGAATCGCCAACGGCAGTCAGGTTTATAAGGGGAGAAGAGGAGGGCGTAACTATGTGATACACACTGGTGCGACGCTGCGCGACGCCACGCGCGCCGTGGGGGACCGCTAGATCACGCCTCACCCCGCCTGCCACGCCTCCTCGACGAGGAGGGCAAATTGGAGCGCGGCCAAAAACAAGACGGCAGCCGTACGCGGTGGTGGCCGTGGCTGGCGGGCGGGGATGACATGTGAAGATGCACAGAAAAAAGGAAAAAGAAGGTCCCCCGCCCGAAATATTTTGGGCATTAACCAAAGAAACACACGTGTAAACACTCCAGACCACCTGGCTTACACAGTGTTTTGGCGGTCTGTGACAGCAGCCACGTGGCTGCCGAGCGCTTCAAGAGATATAGATAGATGGAGGCGTGGCGCCGCACTCCCGCCACAATGAGGAATACGCCTGGAGTCCTGGCTCCTCGCACCCCATTATTTCTGTCTGTCTGCAGGCGCTGGTTCTCTCTTCTAGCCTTCTAGCCTTCTACCCCTCCTCCACCCCCTAGCCTCCTCTCTGAATCTAGGCCCCTCTCCAACCCACCGCTCCTCACTGTCTCAACTCAGTCGGTCCTAATATTAATAAAGCAGGGAATACATTGCGGTAGTGATGAGATCCACGGTGGTGTGTCTGTGTATGTATGTGTGCGGGTGTCTGTGGGTGTGTACGCGTGAATGAGGAACAAGCAGTGCTCAACTTTATGCTCCAAACCATACTTCGAAGGATATATAGGATCATATGTAATGATGTTCCGTAATCATCACTTCAATGGAGTCCCTTAGATATAGCGGTGCAAAAGGCACAAATTTAATCATGAAGTTATTTCAGTGTGGGCTTACGATTATTCCGGTTTTTAAAAATGGAAAAAATGAAAATAATTGAGAACCTCATCCCACACGCACTAAGAGAGAGGGAGAGGGAGAGAAAGAGAGAGAGAGAGAGAGAGAGGGGGGGGCAAAGGAGGGGAGACTGGGAGTGCGAGAGGAGCAGGATCAAAAGGAGTCCCCTTCCCTCGACATCCATCTCCCCTTCCCCACCACCTCACTCCTAGCACATTACTATTGGTCAAGGCTTTCAGCCCATTCCAGAACTACACAGACTAGTCGCTTTCACAAAGGGAAGAGGGGAAGGAAGCTGGCATTAAAAAAAAGAGAGAAGGGGCAGAGGAGAAGGGGCATGGGAAGAAGGCGAGCAAGAGAAAAGAACGGGGGAATGAGACAGATAAAGGAGTCCGTTGGTCAGTGGTGCGGCGCGGCCCGCACGGTTCCTCCACCTCCTTCATGACGGCATCCTGGAAGACGGGTCCCCGAGATGGTCTGCGGTAGCTGGAAAAGCTGGCAAAGAAAGCCACACAACAAATGTGGAAGCGCGGATGCCTACTTTTGGCAAAACGAAGGGACGGTAATATTTCCGAATATTGTAGTGCTAAGAGTGGGTCCAGAAATGTTTCTCTCAATTATGGAAATGATGTTGAATGTGTGAGCCTCCCCCGCTCAATGGACGAATCACAATTTATCCTGTTTACCTTTGCTAAGCGGTTGAGACAACGAATAATCCCACGGATTTTACAATGCCAAGGGAGGAGAGGATAGGGTGCTGGTGCTGTGGGGCTCGTGGCGTTAGCTAGTTTAGTAAAACAACTACCAAGAAAAGTATGCGAGACGAGAGTTTTTCAGGTTTGGTTCCTTTAAGACATTAAAACTATTAATGATGATTAAATTATTATTTTTTTCACAGCAAATTTTAGTCGGCATGCATTTTCTACTTGAATTCATAGCAGAGTGTAATCACATGTTGGGTGGTCATGCCACGCGCTATGTGCCAACCCAATAAAAAAGACAAAATAAAAAGGCAAGCAGGCATTTGTTTTAAAAAATGAGTCCCATCAGACCACCTATTCTCTTTCTTAACTGACACGTTTCACCCTCTTAATGGGTGTTGCCAGCACAGGGGTGGCCAGCCCTCTTGCAAACAATGTGACTTATGTAGTTTCAGTTTCATGGCCACGAGTGTAAGCAATATCCAGCGGTTATGTTTAAAAATACGATTACGCGGTTAGGAATTAATTCGGATCCCACGGGTTATGTATTACCGGCTAGGGTGAGGGGTGCTTGGGTTCATTACACTCTCGGCTAGGAGGGGGTGGGGGGATGAGGGGTCTTCCGTCGGTCGGGGGCATAAGGGAGTGTGAGCTGAGATTCTTCGTAATGAAAATTCTTCAGAGCCTGGTCGTTGGCGTGTTGGGGAGACCCCCAGGGGTCGTTAAGGGGTAGATGGGGGATGACAGGGTACCCCCGGAGCGGAGCCTGAGTGCGAATAATGATGTACGGCCTTAAGTAATTATACTCAGTATTAATCCGTCAGGAGTAAAATGATGGAAACAGGATAAGCGCACTGGTCACGTATATAGAGGAAGGGCAAGGAGCATAAACTGGAAGAGAAGACGCACTGGGAGATATTCTTGTGAACGTTACCCTTTTCTATGATGTGGGTTAACAAATTACAATTTAGAAAAATTAAAAGAACAACCACGACTTGCAAAATTGAGACATAAACCTGCTCGTCGATAAACTTCAAATTGATACATAGCCCTTTAACTTTACAATTTTGAAGTGTCATATTACGACACGCTTCAAGGAAAATTTTCCTATAAAATTTTCAACTATTTTTCACAGTGAATCACCAAACGAAACTTTCCTGTTAACATATCGTGTTTCTGTTTTTTGGCGAGTTGCAGGAGGCGGTGATGGCGTAGAACGCGACCAGGAATAACACTCGGGGCTAAATCAGCGTACGGCTGGCAGAGTGAGTGCCAATAATGCTATTAGATACACACTGTAAAAATTTATTGTGAAGTGACAACAAATATCGTGACAAAACACTAATCTTGGCCTATGGAACAAATGAGTCTTCATATGTGTGATAACTCCCTTGTTTTAATGATATGAAAAATCAGTCGCTTCTGTAGCCTCCCCTTAAGAATTACACCACATTACATAGGGATTACACCTCCATGCGTACAGAGTATTACAGGAGTGGTGGCCCCTTCGCCTTTTGTGTGTGTCTTTGTGCATAATAGCCCCTAGTTTTATAACTGCACACAATTTTCCGCGTGGGCGGCACAAGCGCGTGGACTGGACTATTCGGAGTGCAAGATGTTCATTGTTGGGCAGCTACCAAGACGCGGCCCTAAAATGCAACAGGTAGTGTTGAAGAATGACGCCCCCCCCCCACCCCTGCGCCACGGTGTCTGGTAGAAACGGGGTTCGTTTAAAAAGTGATCCACGAACGAAAAGAGCTGGAAATGAGACCGCTGAGGGTGCAGAACAGCCAGGTGGAGGGGGGGCGTAGCGCGGTTGCGCGTTTAGGAGACGGCGTGGCTTGATGGCGGCAATCACAGCGGAGCGAACGGGCGCATTGTAGCTTATGTCGCATAACAGGGGACGGTGTGTGTGCGCGCGCGTGCGTGAGAAAGAGAAAGGAGGGAGGGGTGCGTCTGTGTGCGTTCAGGATGGTGGATCGATACAGAGACCGCAATCATACTTCGCTGTGCAGATAGACAAGCGATTATGTAATTTGCCCAATCTAGTTTTGCCGACATTTTGGTACATATGCACTGAACATCTTAAAGAGCTAATGCTAACTCAGACTCTTGAAGAGTTCGGAAATCGAGGCGTACGCTTGCGCTGTTGGTCTTCAGAGTCGGCATATTGTACCCTGACATACAGCAACTTTAGTGCGCCAGGACGTCCGACTCCCTGCCTACAACGGCACCTAGCGTCAGCAAGCGGGCACCAATGCAAACAACAATGCTGCTGACATTTCATACTGCTGATTCCCTCCCTTTTGCTGCTTTTCTTTATTTTTTTGAATCAGGGAAAGGTCACCGCAATGGGTTGTGTGTATGTTGGGGGGTGGCAAGGGGTGTGAGGGAGCTGGCTCGCATACGAGCTGTGTGACGGTCTGTGAGGCGGGCACGGCCGCGCCACAGCAAGGTGTGTGTGGGCTTAACCTGACCTTAAGTTAACAGGCCGGCCACACTGCCCCGATAACAAACAGACTGGCGAGCCACAGCCGTTTTTTTTATATATCGGGATTGGGCTCGAATTAGCTTCAGTTTCAACGATCAACAGAACATGACGACGAAATTCAGACGACATTTGTACTGGCGTGGAATGATATCGACATCCTCGCTAAAATTATCTGTTAACATGGCAAAACGAAAATTAATAAAAAGGATTTTAAAACAACACGTAAGAGGACGACTCGAACTACAACATAGAGATCTAGGCCGTCTCCATGGGAGATAGCGTAGACACTTCGTGGGGATATTGTCGACGCGGTGAGTAAACTAACATAGACAACACGGAGACGGCCTGGAGACTTGGCGTTTAGTCTCGACAGCCGACGCCTGTTGCAAGCTCAGAGCTGCTACTGACCAGCCAGCGCAGATTGCCTTCAGTGATCTCTCTGGCTCACAGTGGTAACCGCCTCCGCTCGGCAGGCGGGAGGTCTGTGGCTCGATCCCAGCCAGCCCCAGCTACGGTGCTGCTTCTCCGTTTCGATACCTCAGAGCGAGAACCGCTCAGTCTCTCGAGGCGCTACGACAACCGCTGCAGGAAAGCCTATTATACTGAGCGGTTCTCGCTCTGAGGTATCGGTTTTCGTTCCGTCGTTTTCTTTTCTTCGTCAGTCGCACTTCGAAGTCTCCAGATTGTCTTAAGTCAATGGCTCCAAACGTCTCTAAACGGGCTCGCTAACGAGACCTGACTGAGACGCAACTGGAGAAATCGTCCCCACCAAGTCTCCACGCTTTCTCCCATGGTGACAACGTAGATCTCTTTATTTTTGTACGGGGGTATTGCTTATGTTCACTTGACATAAGTATAATATTTTCAAAACAAATATACACCCAGAAAAATCGTCTCTTGGAACAACAAAAATTTTACTTGTTGCAAGCTCATTTTGTACTTAAAATGACCCAAGGGCATTTTTGCATTCGATCAAGTCAAGATTGATCTTGCATGCCTTGAACTTGTTTCAACGCAGAAACGAACTTGGTCGAAGGACAAATCCGCTTTGAAACAAGATGTTTTTCCTGAGAAGCGCTAACTGAAACAAGGCGATATTGCATTTGACCGCGCTTTGGAGGAAATTATACTTGGGAATCCGTATTGAAACAGATGTACTTGTGATAAGAAAATCAGACTTGGGTCGTTGTTAGTACAAAAATTATTTTGGGAAATACACTTCAGGTGAAGGGGTTGTTCAACTTGGTTAAGGGTAGGTAGATTTTCTCACTTAAATATACCCCCCCCCCCTAAATCGCACCCTGCGAACTTAGCGCTAAACTATCCTCAAGGTTGTGCGACGCACCGTTAAGGCTGTAGGTCATATGTGCGGAAAAAATCAAGGATGGCTGGTCTCAGTTTTTCTCTACTTTTTGATATATGAGTGAAGTTGTTGGGTGGGGATTTAATCGGATTGGTCGCTGGACACTCCGAGTGCATATTTAGTACCGTTTTGAATGCCTTTTGGAGTTGGTATAGCATGAGTAGCATCCAAATTAATATGCCTTCAAATATCGCGCCATACCGGGCAATGGGGTCAATAATTCCGATTGTGTTTGGGCCAACAAAATATTATAGATTCCTTTTTACAAAAGGGACTGAATCAATATTTTGCATATGCCCCCCTCCCCCCAAGTAGAAGCAAGATGACAACATCTATATTCATATTTAGTTTCAGCGAGAGGTGCCTAACTCCATAAAAATGTGTACACCGGATTACCAAATTGTAAAGATGACCAATGATTACCAAAGATTACCAATTACCTATGGTATTATACTTTATTATACTATTATATACTAGGTATGATCCACCTGTAGGTATGATCAATCGAAACGGCAATTTATTGTTCCGAGAAAGTTGAATTTTTGTGCAACTCTTTGGTAGTTCTTGATTCTTTATCATGCAAGTTACAAATTTGCATTCTATGATTGGCCAAATCATGATTTTGTCTATGGGAGGGATGCAAAGTTGTCATATTAAACATACGCGTAGGCATTTAGGCAAAATGTGCACAAACATTCATGTCTAAATCAACAAATTTGTCCTTTTAAAGGACCCTCACGAGTGTGTGAATTACCAGGGATTACCAGTGATTACCAAGTCTATGTACTCCTGATTACCACAGTTGGGCACCCCTCGAGTTTCAGTATGAATCGGATTAGAAATGGCAGAGCTCACGCCCAAGTGTATACCGGTAGTCCCGACAATAACCCGAGTGTAACCGCGTAATACCGACCATATCCGAGAGTACTCGAGTAGTTACAACTATAACTTGAGTGTATCCGAGTTGTCCCGACCACAACCCGAAGGTAACCGAGTAGTCCGGAATGCAACTCGCGTAAATGCGAGTCGCCCCGGCCACAACCCGAGGGTGACCGAGTAGTCCCGAACGCGACCCGAGATCGGCGCAGACAGAAGGACCAAATTGCTCTTGATATCAGAGGCAATAATGTTCTTGGGAACAGCACTTAAAAACTGCTCTTGTTTTAAGTGCACGTTGTATTGTAACAAGAAGACAAGAGCGAATTTTAAAGCCTTTTTTTTTACACTTGATTCAAGAAACGATTTTTCTGTGTGTATAATCGTAAAATTTAGTACTTTAATTTGTGTGTGTGTGTGTGTGTGTGTGTGTGTGTGTTAGAGTAAAGCAGGTGTCAAGATGGTTAGGTGTTATTTGTAGTAATGGCAAACGCGTCATTGACGAAAATAAGGTACCAATCGGGTAAGTGCAGCGACCCCTTCCTTCAGAAAAGCAGCGCGGTCGCTCCCAGTCTCTTCTCCACCCGTCCTGCCCCGTGATATATTGCACAAATGCAGATTGGCTCGATCAAGTCGCTTGGGCGCGCTTCAGTGCGTGTCTGAGGCCGGCCCGGTCGCCCCCCCCCAAAAAGGATTTTAAAACAACACGTAAGAGGACGACTCGAACTACAACATAGAGATCTAGGCCGTCTCCATGGGAGATAGCGTAGACACTTCGTGG